TGGAGTGACCCTTCGACCATAAGGGCCGTTAGTGGAACGGTCCGGGATAACTATGGATCAGTCCGGTGTCGGCATGTGTCGGTCGCGGGTGATACCGCACGGCCATGCATTGGTCACGGATGACCATGAGTTAATTCCGGGGTACTAGATTCCACGAGGCTACATGACAATCGAGAGTCGATCATGGGTCGTTGATACTCGAACATGGCTCGGTCACGAATCGGCCACGGATTGTTGCGTTGAGTTGGGTAGGCCAAGGACGAGACATGTGCCAGGCCATGTGCCTAGTGGCTTGGTCGCGGCCCGGGCAAAATTGCCAGTCGCGCCGGCCAAGGCCATGTGCCCTGTCATGACCAGCCATCGTGCCCGTCAGCCAGGCCACGGACCGGCTACGTGCCCGGTCGCGTGCCGGCCATTGTGCTTGACCCTTTTCCCACGAGTTGTGCCCATAAGATCCGGTTCCGATCTCGTCCCGTGTCTAAGAAATATGGCCATGAGTCGTGCGATGTGCCATTCACGGGCCGTTGCTCATGTTTGGCCGTGAACCGACCCCTCACCTGTATGACTCGACGTGGTGCTCGGCACGATGCCCATACGGCTAGCAAGGCACTAGGCACATCGCCCGTACGGCCAGGCAAGCCGCTCGGCACGTTGCCAGTGTGGCCCGGCGTGGCGCCCGTGCGGTCCGGTCTCGCGCCCGGCCATGTGCCTCCGTGGCCCGGCGATGCACCCGGCCATTTGCCCGGTAACCCGGCCACGCGCCCAGGCCACCCGAGAAGCCCAATTTGGCCTAGTTTGGCTTAGATTTTTGTAGGGCTATGTTTGGTCAATTGTGAGGGCTTTTCCATATTAAACCTCATTTTAAATGGGATTATTAGAGTTATTTATCGCAAGAAAACCCTCGAAAAGTTATGAGGATTAACATGATACGGGGTTGCGATTTTAGCGCCGTTTAGCCAATTTCGGGTAAACCGATTGGCCCGAGAGGTTTTTGAGTGGAACCAACTAGTTTGTAGGCCTCCTACGGTTCAGGTTTTGGCTAAAGAAAAGAGACAAAAAGGGTTGACTTGGTCAAAGGTGCAATTATTGCCCTAAAACCTTCATTATTGGACCCCCCATGAGGTGTCCCTCTCCATTATTGTCACCAAGCTGAGCTGCCCCCCTAATTATGGCTCATTTAAAGCTTTTGTTGACTCATTGATCACCAATAATAGAGCCCAAGGCAAGGCCAATAATTGGCCAAGCCAAGGGAGCCGAACAAGAGGGCCTTTCGGCCAAGGAGAGAGAGAGAGAGAGAGAGAGAGAGAGAGAGAGAGAGAGAGAGAGAGAGAGAGAGAGAGAGAGAATGAGGAGGACCAATGAGGAAGAGATAAGCTTTAGCCATTCATCATTTCTTTTGGCTTAAGTACATTAATGGCATTAAATGAAAGCCATCATGAATTTGACTAAGAGGCCCTCTATTATTGGTTCAAGTCTAGGGTTTTCTAGTGTCTTCCAAGTACTCTATAAAAAGCAAGACATTTCCCCCCCTTTTCTCCCTCTTCTCATGCCAACTTCATCATCCTCTTCCTTTCCCTTTTTGTTTCTTGTTTTCTCACCCTTTTGGCCGAGAAGCTCACGCCCAAATAAATCCCGAACCGGCCTGTGTTTCTTCTCGTTCCTACCCAAGAGCCCACGGTTTGGCCCTTGTAGGCCTAGGTTTGCTCGGCCAAGCAAGAAGGAAGCAAGGAGGAAGCCCGAAATTTCCCGAGCTCACCCATTTCTAGCCCGTTCTCTAGTATTGTTAGTTGTTGAGTAAGTAAATTCCCTAATATGGGGAAAGGAAGTTACGATACGTTGTAACATGGGTTGGTTGACCCGTTTCGTGGTTTCATGGTTGTTCATTTTTTCTCATCTAATGATGTTCCCGTGTGATACTCACGTTTGATGTTTGTTTTTGTTGGTTTCGTAGAATGACTTTGCAGTTTGAATTGCCATCGATGCCGGTACGGTAAGAGTCGACTTGTGTGAACGACGATTGTCTCGTCCTCGGTTGATATTAGAGTTTTTACTTATTGAGTCCTTTGACTCACTCCCATTGTTTTTCCTCTTTCTAGGTCCGTAGATGGCGACTCCCCCGACCCGCTTTGGAAACCCCGTCGAGATGAGGGCGGAACTACTCACGTTCATTGATGCCCGAGAGAACCGCGCGTACCGTCGCATTACGACATATGTTATGGTGGATGAGGGCCGATTGGAACTGGTCCCCCACCTGTACGTGGCCTGGTATTGGCTAGCTAACGGCGACTGGGTTGGGCCCCTTCGTGGGTTCGAGGGGCCATTCAGTGGCGTAGGTGGGCCGGCTCTGGGGCAATCCGCGGGCGGGGCATAGTTCGGCCACCGGACGGGGGAACGGGAGCGAGGAGATGGAGGAGCGATGAGCTAATGAGTAACCGTAGTGGGAATAGGCAACCAAGCCAAGTTTTGTTTGTTTGATAGTGGCTTGTGTCGGACCCGCCCTTGGAATGGGCATGTAAAATATGTTCGTGGCTTGTAAGGGCCCGTAAAGAAGGGCTCGACGAAATAAGCACTTATCTTGTAAATATAAAGTGAGTTGTTTGCTTTTATCACTCCTGTTTGTCTCGTTTATTGTTTATTTACTTCCGCGTGCGCATTTGATTGTTTAAAATAAACAGGATGAACTAATATATTTCCGTGAGTCACGGGTCCGTTCGGGTCATGTTCAGTCACTAAGTATCGATTGTGATTCCGAGTCGGGACGTGACAGCCGCCCTTGCCCAGCAGATTGCCGTCACTGCCCTACCAGTCCAGCCGACATGCCAGCCCGTACGAACCGCCGCCTTGCCATCATTGCCGTGAACCACCGAGCGCCGATAGGTCGCGGCTGTGCTGACGCCGCCGCTGCTCTGTTTCGGCGACCTTGCTGCCCTCCACACTTAGCCGTTCTCTCTTAGGCCCAATGTAAGCAACTCCCTAAACTCCTTCTAGGACTTCGAGTATTATTAAACTCGTTTAGGGATTATTTAGTGCGAATTAAGGGCTGATTTAGTGGCTGATTAGTGGATTGATCATGGCTGGAATATGGCTCATTTGGGGTTGATTTGGCGAATGATTGTGGTGGGCTTGATCGTTAGTTTGATGGGATGATGTTGGTGGGTTTGTTGAACGGAATGTGGGTTAAAATGTGTTGGAATGGTGAGTGTTGTTACAATCAAGTGTTGTTGGAATTGTGGGCTGATTTGGTGCTCATTGCGCGTATGTTAATTGCAGTTTGAGGGCTGGTTGTTACTGCCGTTTGTTATTGTCGCGAGTGCGCGTTCGCGATTCTTAAATTGATAGAATGGTGGTGGTTTTAGTGCCTATGCGAATTGATTTGTTCGATTGGCGATTGAGCATATTAGAGTATTGTTTGAATATGTGAATGACATTGAATTGATTGAATAATGTGGCGTATGCGCTTGTCTGAATGGCCTGAGGCGTGTTTATGCGGGCCGTGGAAGGCAGGTTAGACCTAAGGCGTGTTTACACGGGTCATTGGAGAAAGTTGGGCTTGAGGCGTGTTGACGCGGCTGTAAGAATGGGCCTGAGGCGTGTTGACGCGGGCTGTGAGAATGGGCCTGAGGGGTGTTGACGCGGGCTGTGAGAAAGGACCTGAGGCGTGTTTACGCGGGTCGTGGCTAGTTGGATAAATGCGCATGTGAAATGTGTTTGGTTGAATTGGGTGAATGCATGTGTGTATGGCGCTTGGGTGATTGTGATATGTTCTTGAAATATTATTGCATTATAGTGATTTGACTAATATGCGGAGCTGGCGTGTGATTTGAGATGAGATAAGTACGTTTATGTGAATTTTAATATGTCGGCTGTTAGATTGCATGTTGAGACTTGTCTGGGTACTCATTAGCTTATGTAGGGTTTAGGTTGTCTGTTTATTGAGATTTATTCTCATTGTTGCAATATAAACCATTTCAGATCTGCAACCGTGATTGATTTGGAGACGCCGCCAGAGTACCTCGGGGATCAAGGATGGGTCAAGTTACCCCGTCTTTTAAGTGCCCCTTTTGTAGAGGAGTTAAGCTCACCAACCACCGCCCCCTTTTGATGAATGTGGTTTGAAGTGAGTGGCCTGGGTTGATATTATGTATTTATGAATGCTGTAAGTTATGCCATGCAATGGAAATGCATTTGTTGGTTGGTGTAAGTACTACCCCTTCTTCATCGTTTACTGTCTGGGTTGTTTAAAATTTCGCTTCTGCTTGCATATGACGTGGGGTGTTTTGTTTGGGTCAGCGATGAGTCCTGGGACATCGCGTTTGATACGACCGTCGTAGGGGTGTCGCGAGCCCGTTAGGGCTCGGGGCGTTTCATCCCCCATTAATTTGGTATCAGAGCAAGGTCAGCTCGATCCAAGTTGGTCGAAGCCTGGAGTGATAATGAGCGATGACTTTGGGGTAGCCAGCTAGGGAGGCTCGTGTGCCATGTGTACCCCAGACTGTGTGATTGTGGTTGCTGAGTAACCTTATGCGATTATGTGTGAAGTGCAGGTGCGTCAAGACTTGAGATAAGTGCATGAATCTTGTTGGCTGTGATTGAGTGTTGTTTATGATTGGTTGCCTACTTGGTGAATTGTAGTTGTGATTCACTGCCTAGGGCTTTAGACTGGTATAGTTGGCCTAGGTCTCTAATTCCTGAGTGGAATTATAGCAGGTAGGCGAGTGTGAGATCCTGTGAGAATGAGTAGCCGAGGAAGAGGTCGAGGTCGAGGTCGAGGTCGCGTTGCCCTGCAAGCTGGAGTTGTGGAGGATCCCCGGGTGGATGGAATTCTGAGGGCACTACAAGAAGTCGGGATTTTAATGGGTAGATAGACTGAAGAGCGGAATGCTACTATCGCTGCTGCTGCGAGGGCCACTGTTGCCGCCGCCAACGGAGCCAATGGAAATAATGGAAACAACGGGAATGGTGGGCATCCCGCTCCGGGCCAAGTAAATGCAAATAGGCCAATGTCTAAGCTGGTTGAGCAGTTTTTAAAGCTAAAGCCCACGAGGTTTGATGGGAGAGGCGACACTGAGGCTACACCTCGATGGGTGGAAGAACTAGAGAAAGCCTTCGAAGTGCTTGGGTGCACTGAGGAAGAGAAAGTAACCCTGGCAGTCTACCAGCTTCAGGATAATGCAAGCCATTGGTGGAGAGCCACCAGAAGTCAAGTGTTCCCCACTGGTACTATTCCGACTTGGACTATTTTTACCGAGACCTTCATTAGCAAGTATTTCTCGAAAAGTGCCCGAGAGCAGAAGTTGGCTGAATTTATGAGGCTTTGCCAGGGTCAGATGTCGGTGGATCAGTATGAAGCTGAGTTTGCAAGACTGTCCAAGTTTGCCCCAAGAATGGTAGAGGACCCAATGGACAAAGCTAGGAGATTCCGAGATGGACTGAAACCGGACCTCCGCAGTCAGATGATCTCACTGAATTTGAGGGGTTATCATGAGATTTACGACCGGGCTTAGGCAATTGAGCATGATTTGATGGATCGGGCTGTCGCCTCTGGATCGCGGTATGCCTCGGCTAGGGACGATCGCCACTTTGGAAAAAGGCCCATGGCGGGAAATAAGCGCTTTGTCCCTCCCGCTCGGAGGAATATAGGGAAGTCGAATCGCGTTCAAAATGCCCCATGCTGGTTGTGTGGAGGGAGACATGGTAATGGACCTTGCCCAAATAAGGACAGAGCGTGTTTTAAATGTGGCGGAAGGGGCCATCAGATCAGGAATTGCCCCAACAATAGGCAGGCTAAGTCGTCTACGCTACCGCCGCCACCGCCCCGGAATGGAAATCAATTTGGAGCTATCCAACCGGCCAATTAGAATAGGCCGCCGGCCCAAGGACAAGTATACGCAATGGCGAGGAGGGAAGCTGAGGACGCACCTGGCGTGGTCACAGGTACGGTCTCTCTCTGTGATCATGCTGCATATGCTTTATTTGATCCGGGGACGTCGCATTCGTTTATATCTAAGCAGTTCGTTAAATTGTCTGGAGTTGAGCCGAAACCGCTTGAAGTTATGCTGTGTGTGACTACTCCATTGAATGATAAAGTGCTGATTGCGTTTGGATGCCCTGATTATAAGATAGTGGTTGGTGATAGGGAAGAAAGGATAGATTTGGCAGTTTTAGCTATGTATGACTTTGATGTGATTGTTGGTATGAACTGGTTAGTTAAACAGAAAGCTATAATGGACTATAGTAACAGGGTGATCCAATTTAATCCGGTTGGACATCCTAGATTCAAGTTTGTGGGAAACCGAGGAGGAACCTCGATCCCTTGGATCTCATCCCTTGAGGTGATTAAGCTGTTAGACGAAGGGTGCCGAGGATTTCTGGCGACTGTAGTTGATTGGACGGCTGGAGAGTCGAGGCTAGAAGACATAGCCGTGGTGCGCAATTTCCCCGATGTCTTTCCTCAGGAATTACCGGGATTGCCACCTGATAGAAAAGTAGAGTTTGTGGTTGAGTTGGCCCCCGGTACGAAACCAATCTCGAAAGCGCCCTATAGGATGTCGTTGTCAGAGTTAAAGGAATTGAAAGTTTAGATGCAAGAGTTACTGGGTAAGGGCTTTATTCGCCCGAGCGTGTCTCCATGGGGAGCGCCGGTGTTATTCGTGAGAAAGAATGATGGGTTTTTTAGGTTGTACATTGACTACATACAGTTAAATCAAGTGACCATTAAGAATAAGTACCCACTACCAAGGATAGACGACCTGTTTGATCAGTTTCAAGTAGCATCGATATTTTCTAAGATCGACTTGAGGACGGGTTATCACCAACTGAGGATTAAGAAGGAGGATATACCAAAAATGGCATTTAGGACGAGGTATGGGCATTACGAGTTTACAGTAATGCCGTTCAGATTGACTAACGCCCCTGCTGCCTTTATGGATTTAATGAATAAGGTATTCAAAGAATTTTTGGATCAGTTTGTAATCGTGTTCATAGACGATATCTTGGTATATTCAAAGAGTTCCGCCGAACATAAGTTACATTTGGAAAAGGTTCTACGGACTTTAAGAGAACACGCACTTTACGCTAAGTTCAGTAAGTGCGAATTCTGGTTTCATCGAGTGGCGTTCTTAGGACATGTGGTATTCGGGGAAGGAATTGCAGTGGATCCGACGAAAATCGAAGCCGTCACGAATTGGCCGAGGCCGACAACAGTAACTGAGGTTCGGAGCTTCTTGGGTCTAGCAGGTTATTACAGACGCTTCGTGGAAAGGTTTTCGGCATTAGCGACACCATTGACGCGGTTACTAAAGAAGGAGATAAGGTTTGAATGGACGGATAAGTGTGAGAGGAGTTTCCAAGAGTTAAAGCAGAGATTGATGATCGCGCTAGTGTTGACAATCCCGTCAGGTCCAGAAAGATATGAGATCTACAGTGACGCGTCGCAAAGGGGATTGGGATGCATGCTAATGCAACACGGAAGAGTAGTGGCATACGCATCGCGACAATTGAGACCACATGAGCTGAATTATCTGACTCACGACTTGGAATTAGCCGTGATTATCTTCGCTCTCAAGATTTGGAGACACTACTTGTGTGGGGAGAAATTTCAAATTTATACGGACCATCAAAGTTTAAGGTACTTATTCTCCCAAAAGGAATTGAACATGAGACAGCGCATTGGATAGAACTCTTCAAGGACTATGACTGCAATATTCTGTATCACCCTGAAAAAGCTAATAAAGTAGCAGATGAACTGAGCTGGAAATCGAGCATCGCGTATATGATGGTCAAGGAATGGACTCTGTTGGAGGGAGTTCGGGATTCGGAGTTTAAGTTTAAAGTGAGTCACGTCTCAAGTCTGCTTGCCGCATTGAGGAATGAACCGGAAATCCAGACTAAGATTAAGGCTTTTCAATCGATGGACATGGAGATTCAGAAGATTATGAAAATGGATATCGTAAAAAGGAAATCGGACTTTCAGGTACCCAAGGATGGGATTCTGAAGTTCCGTGGATGGTTATGTGTGCTAGGTGATGTAGAACTGAAGGAGGAGATTTTGTTAGAAGTTCATTGTAGCAATTACAGTATTCACCCGGGTAGTACAAAGATGTATCAGAACTTGCAACAACATTATTGGTGGAACGGCATGAAAGTGGATGTAGCCAAGCATGTGGCCAAGTGTTTAACATGTCAACAAGTGAAGATGCAACATTGCAAACCGGGTGGAATGTTGCAGCCATTGGAAATCCCTGAGTGGAAATGGGAACACGTCACGATGGACTTTGTAATGGGATTACCGAGGAGTTAGAGGGGTCATGATTCAATTTGGGTGGTAGTCGATCGATTGACAAAGTCAGCACATTTTCTACCGGTGCGAAAGGACTTCGCCTTGGAAAGGTATGCCGAGATATACGTGCGACAAATAGTCCGTCTTCACGGAGTGCTAGTGACGATTACTTCAGATCGTGACCTAAGTTTATTGCCGCTTTTTGGAAAAGTCTTCGTACGGCATTAGGAACGAAGTTACAGTTTAGCACGGCCTATCATCCCCAAACGGATGGCTAGTCTGAAAGGACGATTCGGACTTTGGAAGATATGCTATGAGCATATGTATTGGATTTTAAGGATAGTTGGGAGGAACAGTTACATCTGGTTGAGTTTGCCTACAATAATAGCTATCAGCAGAATATCAGAATGGCACCATTTGAAGCGCTATATGGCAGAGCTTGCAGAATGCCGGTTTGTTGGGATGAAGTTGGTGAGAGGAGCATCACGGGTCCAGAGTTAGTTCAGCAGTCAGTCGAAACAGTCAAGGTGATTCGGGACAGGCTTAAGACCGCTCAAAGTCGCCAAAAGAATTATGCAGACCGGAGATGTAGGCTTTTGGAATTTCAAGTAGGGGACCACGTTTTCCTCAAAGTATCGCCGATGAGAGGATTATCACGGTTTGGCAAGAAAGGGAAGTTGAGCCTGAAGTACGTGGGTCCATTCGAGGTCTTAGAAAGAATCGGTACTTTGGCCTATCGTCTCGCACTATCGCCGAATTTGTCCAAAGTTCACAATGTGTTCCGCATGTCTATGTTAAGGAAATACGAACCGGATCCGACCCACGTGCTGAATTATGAAGAAATAGACGTGGACGACAGAGTGTCGTACGTGGAAAGGCCAGTAAGGATTGAGGACAGAATGGAATGGGTGTTACGGAACAAGACACTTCCGATGGTCAAAGTAATTTGGGAGCATCATGGAACCGAAGGTGCGGCAGAGGAAAGCGAAGAGTTGATGCGACATCAATACCCCTCATTTATTCGAATAATTGGGTTGGATTGTAAATTTCGAGGACGGAATTTTTTGTAAGGGGGGAAGAGTTGTGACATTCCGAATTTCGAACCATTTTTGGGATTTATAAAGCGTGTATTTCGTCAGTATGCTTATAGTAAAATCTCACCCGGAACTGATCACTTTTGGGTTATTTTTAAATTAGAGATTTCGCTAGAGTCGCACTAAATCGAATTTGGCCGTTATTTATAGCCCGAACTTTGGTGTCGAATTTCTCGGAGTTTCGTGACGAATTTAATTGGATGGTGTCGATATTATTGTGGCCAGCGTCGATATTGTCCGGAATTGGTGAAAAGTGAAATTTGGACCGGGTGCGGATTTCGACCAATACACCTCCCTCTGGGTTTAAATATTTAGTGTCTTTTGGCATTTTCTTAATTTATAATTTGGGATTTTTTCGTGGTCATTGGATCAAGATCGCGAGATCGTTTGTGGGCCGTTAGATTTGTACTTGAGTGTTTATTTGACTTTCTCTCTCTCTCTCTCTCTCCTCTGCCGCGCCTCTGCCCCATTTACGTCCCCTCCCCCCCTCACGCTCACGTCCCTTCTCTCTCTACATGTTTTCCCCTTTCTCTCTCTTCCCTTCTCTCTTTCCCGCTTTCTCCTTTCCCCCCTCCTTCTCTCTCTCTCTCTGCCTGATCGTCCTCTCCTCCCCTCCACCGCTTGCCGCCGCTCTCCTACGCCCGACCGCCGCACGCCGTCCGCCTGACCGCCATGCGTCGCAGTCCGGTCATCCGTCGCCGCCAGAACCGCCGTCCGTCCAGTTGACTTCCCCCCAGCCTGGATGTTCTCCCCTTCCCTCCGCGCGAGCAGCAGCTTGCTCACCGCCCCGTCCGCCGCGGGCCGGCGCTGCCTAGCCATCTGCCGGCCAGCCTAACTTCGCCCAGGCGCCTGTAGCCCCGCCGCGCCACCGCCGGACGCTCCATCTCCGCCGCAACACCCTGCCTCTACTCCCCTTCCCCTATTCACCTCGACCCTCCTCTGTTCGTCTCGCTAGCCACCGCAGCGTGCTGCCGTCCTGGCCGCCGCTGCCCTCACCGGCTCGCCACCACCACCCAGCTCCCCCTTTTCGCCTGGTCGCTGCCCCTGCTGCCGCTGGCGCCGATGCTCCCTTGTTCTGGCTAGCTACTCCTCTCCCCTTCCTTTGTTCTCTCTCTGTCCCTGCTTCGACCGTCGCCGCCGTGGGCCGCTGTGCATTCGCCGGAGCCACCTATCTGCTATCGCCGTCCTTGCCCAACAGCTTGCCATCGCTGTCCTGCCAGTCCAGCTGAGACGCCAGCCCGCACGAGCTGCCGTCTTGCCGTCACCGCTGTGAACCGCCGAGCGCCGATAGGTCGCGGCTGTGCCGACGCCGTTGCTGCTCTGTTCTGGCGACCTTGCTGCCCTCCACGCTTAGCCGTTCTTGCTTAGGCCCGAGGTAAGCGACTCCCTAAACTCCTTCTAGGAGTTTGGGTATTATTAGACTCATTTAGGGATTATTTAGTGCGGATTAAGAGCTGATTTGGTGGCTGATTAGTGGATTGATCAT